GATGTGGGGAAAAAGGTACACTCATATACTGCTGGTGGGACTGCAAACTGGTGCAGCCAATATGGAAAGCAGTATGGAGATTTCTTTAAAAATTGGGAATGGAACCACCATTTGACCTAGCTATCCCACTCCTTGGTGTATACCCAAAGGACTTAAAAACAGCATACTATAGGGACACTGTCACATCAATGTTTATAGCAGCACAATTCACAATAGCTAAACTGTGGAACCTAGATGCCCTTCAGTAGATAAAAGGATTAAAAAAAAAAGTGGCACATATACACAATAGAATATTGCTCAGCAATAAAAGAGAAAAAAAATTATGGGATTTGCTGGTAAATGGATGGAGTTAGAGAAGATAATAATAAAGTTAGCCAATCCCAAATAACTAAATGCCAAATGTTTTCTTTGATATGAAGCTGATTCATAGTGGGATAAGAAGAAGGAGCATGGGAGGAAAAGGTGAACTCTAGATAGGGCAGAGGGATTAGAGGTGAATGGAGGGGGCATGGGGTTAGAAATGATGGTGGAACATGATGATCATTATTATCCAAAGTACACATATGAAGACATGAATTGGTGTGAATATACTTTGTATACAACCACAGATATGAAAAATTGTGCTCTATATGTGTAATGAGAATTGTAATGCATTCCACTGTCATATATCAATAATAAAAAAATTATAGAAAAAAAGCTTAAAATATCAGGATCTCTGGGATGAAACAGTACTCAGATAAACATTTATAACTTAAAGTACTTGTATCATAAAGAGGCTAGAATAGGGCTAGGGTTGTGGCTCAGCAGTAGAGTGCTCCCCTAGCACATGCGAGGCCCTGGGTTTGACCCTGAGCACCACATAAAAATAAATAAAATAAAGGTATTGTGTCCAACTACAACTGAAAAAAAAAATTTTTTTAAAAGAAGCTAGAATAACAATCAAATTATTTTCAAATAAAGTAGTAGTAAGGAAAAAGAGTAGGAAAAGAAATATGTATAATAGAGAAGAGATAATACAGCTAAAATTTAATAAAATCAAAGAAGTCTAATAAAAAAAAAAGCAAGAACACAAATGGAAATGGAAAGGAAGCTATCAAAATAACCCTAAAGATGCTACAAATATATTAAGGTAATATTACAATTATATGCCAACATGTGAGAGCTTATATAATATAGTCTGTGTTAGAGAAAGTGTGTTGCTGATAAGAAAGTGTATTCAGTCATTGATAGATGAAACATTCTATATGTCTGTTAAGTCTAAATTATTGATTGTAGTATTTCATTCTAACGTTTCTTCATTTAGGTTTTTTGGTTTTTTTGTTTTGTTTTGTTTTGTTTGTTTTTTTGTGGTGCTGGGGATTGAACCCAGGGCCTTGTGTTCATGAGGCAAGCACTCTACCAACTGAGCTATATCCCCAATTCTCTGTTTAGTTTTTGTCTGGAGGATCCATTCAGCAGTGAGAGAGGTGTGTTAAAGTAAAGTCACCCAGTATTATTGTGTTGGGGTCTATTTGATTCTTGAAGTTGAGGAGGGTTTGTCTAAAGTATGTAGATGTTCCATTGTTTGGGGAATAGATATTTATGATTGTTATGTCATGTTGATGTACAATTCTCTTAAGCAATATGCAGTGTTGCTCTGATGCTTTTTTTTTTTTTTTTGGTAAGGCTGAGGATTGAACCCAGGGCCTTAAGCATGCCAGGTAAGCACATTATATCCCCAGCCCTATTATTAAAGGGACAAGTTCTTCTCTCCCCTCTTCTCCCCTTCTCTAACAAGATTAGGAAGATAGTGTTATCTTTTCTTCCCCAACACACCCACCACAGGAAGGAGATATCTGCCAGAGGATCTAAGAAGTGAATTTCAACATACCTACAGGGCACAAATGGAATCATAGGATTTGAATAGCTTCTTTAAAAGCCTTGTTTTCCCTGACAGACAGAATCACAGCCTCAGGGACAGGAGTCCCCATTGTTTCTCCTTTGCTAGCAAAGCAATAAAATTTCCTTTCCTTTTTTTCAAAACCATGTCCTCTATATTAAATTGGCATTAATTAGCACTGGGGGAACAGGATAAGCTTTTGGTTACAGATTCAATCCCAGCACAAAAAAAAAAAAAAAAAAAAAAAAGAGAGAATTTATTTCCAACTTCAAAATTTTTGTTGCCATTTTCTTTTTTCCCAGTTCTTCCTACCTTTCAGATAAATACATTAACAAAATTTTCCATCACCAATTTCTTTTGTGATGTTTCTAGAGAAAATAAAATTGCATGCATGGATTTCCTTACTTACCTTTGGATAAAGGTTACTGAACAGAAAGGTTGGTACACAAATGTAATCTACATTAGATTCACCCAGCCTTTTTGTATCCATAAAAATTTGATTATTTTGACATGACCTCTAACTGATCATATGTCAGAATAATCCATATTTTCTGGAGGAAAAAGCCTATCTAGAGAAGAAAGGAAATGGTTTCATTGATAGGCAATAAGATTTTTAGAAAATTATTTTAATACTTTATCTGACAATGAAGGTACAAAATAGAAATCATTGCCAGGTGTGGTGGCACAAGCCTGTAATCCAAGTAGCTCAGAGGCTGAGGCAGGAGGATTGGAAGTTTAAAAGCCAGCCGCAACAATTTACCAAGGCCCTAAGCAATTTAGTAAGACCCTGTCTCAAAATAAATCAATTAAAAAAGGGCTGGGGATGTGGCTCAGTAGCTAAGCACCCCTGAGTTCAATCCCTGGTACAAAAAAAAAAAAAAAAAAAAATGCTGAAGAATGAACTTACTCATTTAACATAGGTTAACTGAGAACACAGAACCATGCAAGACTATGCATAAAAAACAGCTGTAAACTAAATTAATAGCTATTCCACTTGGCCACTAAGTTTTGGAGCAACTGTTGTTACACAGCAATACACTAGTACAACTAATTATGTTCTTTTTTGGGGAGTGGGTGGGTACCAGGGATTGAATTTAGGGACACTCGATCATTGAGTCATATCCGCAGCCCTATTTTGTATTTTTTTAAGAGACAGGGTCTGACTGAGTTGCTTAGCGCCTCGATAAATTGCTGAGGCTGGCTTAGAACTCTTGATCCTCCTGCCTCAGCCTCCCAAGCCACTGGGATTACAGACATGTGCCACTGTGCCCAACCCCTAATTTTGTTCTTTTTGCTATGATGACAGATATGAAATAAAAACTGGGATATATCACATTTTTAGTGAAATACTAAAAATTTAATAGATTACTAAAAATAAATTTACAGTACTATTTTAATTTTTGATGCATGTTCATATGACACCATATCTAATAATATTTTTTCTTCATTTTGGTCARAATTTAGCAAAATTGCATGGATAGTAGGTACTCAACTACCTATTAAAGTATTTATAAGTTAGTGGAACCTATGTGTTATATCCTAAAAGTAAAGTCATACTCATTTTTCAAAGTTAAATCACTAGGTACTTACTGAAGATTTGTTATGATATATTATAATTGATAGATTTTAAGTTAAAGAGATTAAAGATTGAACATTACTGTTACGAGTTTCAGTTTTTATAATCTTAGCATTATTATGGCTATGTGGATACAGAACAGAGCCACAACATCCAGGAACTATTCCTTCTAAATACTCATATTGAGTACATTGAAATTTATGTACCAATACTTTACCACCTTTCATATAATTCTTTAAAATATAGAAGAAAATAGAAAAAGTACCTTTGATCTTACTCCGTAGATATTTTAGAACTTCTTGAGTTCCTTTCTGAAAGGGCAGAGAAAAAAAACATGCATTCACCAAGAATACCTTGCAGTTTTACAGATCAATATATATACATTTACAATTCAATTGAAAGATAAAGAGCTGAATTTTAAATAGTTACATTTATAATTTCTCTCCGAATGGTTCTCAAAGGATTTCCTTCTAGTGCCAGGAATTTCAAATGTAGGTTTCCCAATGAACAGGGCAGACTACAAAAGATTAAATTGATTTCAGAGAAAATGTTAAATATAAATCTAGACCAACCAAATAGTTAACTATAAATTAACAGCATATGACAAACAATATAATAATAGTCTCAAAAAATGTCTACATAGGCCTAAAATGTTTTCCCTCAGATAAATGCTAAACATAAAAGAAAAACCAGACATATCTTCAAAGTTGTCATGATAAAATTGCTAAAAAAGAATGTTAGATATAAAATATTTGCTAATTTATATCTAGTGCTAAAAAGAAAATGTTAAAAATATAAATTTTAATGAATCAGCAATTCAGTCTCATTAATAATGTGTTAATTTTGTACTTCAATGAAGCAAATAAAATTATTTCTAAATGAAAAAAAAAATGACAAATAAAAAGAACAAAATACATACCCAATTAGGTTTTCATTCGATAAGGACAGTCGTTTTTATCTTTGGCACATAAAAAAGATAACCCATTTATACACATATACACTCTCAATAAAATTTATTGTTTCTACAAAATACTACGAATTGGCAGGCATAGTGACAAAGTTCTTGCTCTGAAGTTCTCAATTGAACAAAGGAAAAAAACACATATAAAAGTGCACAAAATATAACAAATAATACATATGTTATATTGCTGGTGAGAATACACATAATACAACTACTTTAAAAATGGTGTCTTTTAAAATTGAAGATATACCCACCATACAAGTAAGCAATTCTACTCCCTACATTTACCAAGCCCCCCAAATAAAAATAATAATGTCCACACAAAATCTTACACACGAATGTTCACAATAGCAAAAAAATTGAAGAACACCCAAATGTTCATCAACTAACTAGTAGAGATGACTAAATTGTGATATATCTACATAAAAGAATATTCAGCAAAAATGAATGAACTATATGAACACAACTACATGAGTGAATCACAAAAACTTTATGCTACATGAAAGAAGCCAAACACAAAAACTGTATACTGCATAAAGCCATTTATATGATTTTCTACAAAAGGCAAAGAGAGTACATAGTAGTTACTAGTTAGCAGTATGGAAACAGAATTGATGGCAAAAGGCGGAAAATTCTTGGGAAGACAGAAGTTTTCTAACATGACTGTGACAATGGTTACACAACTGTACACATTTGCCAAAAGTCATCAAATTATATGCTTTTATTATATGTAAGTCACACATCAAAAAATAACATTATATAAAAATATATATAATAAGAAAAACACTAAATACGTAAAGTTGCTATGAAAATAGAAACAAGGATAAAGGAGTAGAAGGGAGTAACAACACCTGGATTTGGGCTTAAAATAAATGGGATTCCCTTAGGCATTAAGGCAGGAAAAGGGCATTTTAGGATAAAGAAACAAAAGGAAGGGGTGGCGTATGTATCGTTTGATGTAGTCAGAAAGCAGGATACCTAGAACAGCGAAAGAAAGAAGCAACCAAAAGTAGTTTCAGCTTCAGACACCCCTGATTGTTTTACCAGAAATTTTGGACTTTCTCTTTCAATTACTGGTTTGAAGACAARATGTACCAAAATCTTCCCAGGAATTATTTTTTAAACAAAATAAAACAAAACAAACCRTAGGGTGTCATTGTAAGAGATTCTAATTCATTGGTACCTCAAAATCTGTATTATTTTTCCCCTTACTTAATGCCTTTTAAATGATTCTAATACTCAGCCGTATTTGAGAAAACAGTGCTATGGCAATGGAAAACTATCAAAGCTTCTCAAGTAGATGAATGATTATTTTTATTTTATAGAAACTATTCTAGTAATAGTGTTAGGAACCAGTATTTYAGTTAGAAGAAAATTTGAAGGGGTGGAAAATGACAAGAATTATTAGTATCTCAGAACTATATGCTTTGAGGGAAGGAAAAAAACTCCTAAAAATATACTAAAATATGATTATGTTGTAGGCCCTTTATCTCCAAAGCTCTAGAGAAAGAGGAAAATATATGTGAATATATTTTCTGATATCAGAAAAATTGAAATACATTTTCTGACATTAAAAATATTTGTACCAACCATTTATGTTTTGTTAAACATCTGCTTCCTACTGCTTTTTTTTTTCTTTGAGAGAGAGAGAGAGAGAGAGAGAGAATTTTAATATTTTATTTTTTAGTTATCGGCAGACACAACATCTTTGTTTGTATGTGGTGCTGAGGATCGAACCCGGGCCGCACGCATGCCAGGCGAGCGCGCTACCGCTGAGCCACATCTCCAGCCCCTGCTTCCTACTGCTCTTATGCAGTAGACTAATTAAAACCACCAAGGAGAAAATTTTACATGTTAATATTTGTAAGAAGCAATAGATTATTTTATTCATGACTGGAAAGATAAACACTTTTATAGATATTCAGGTCACTGCTTAATTCTATCATATATGTATGAAAAGGTGATCATTGTCCAAGTATTCAAATCAATGGTCTAAATATGCCGTAAGTACATTGTGGAAACAAATGTTACTTTTAAACATATTTATTAAAATATACACATAAAAGAAAATCTGCCTTGCCTAATTTTTTCTTCTTTTGTGAATAGTACTCCATATTTCTGGCATTCAAACTTAAAACCTCAGACATCCAGTTGATATATGATCTGAGTCTGTATATATAAAATAATTCCATTTCTAAATATGATGTTTTATAACATTTTATGATTCTTTGCTCACTACTCTGCTTCTCTCCATGTCCAACATAATCAGTCAGCTGCTAAATACAATTTATTCTAATTTACCACACATATGCCTTTTTCTTTTCATTCCCATTGCTTTCAAAATTTAGTTCCTCATTACATAAATCTATACAACTGTCAATACAAGCCATTGACTAAAATGTGTTCCTTAGTGATAACTACTAAACTAACAGCTTTTAGATTTCCTACCTATAAAACCACTCCTATTCAATGTAATATTGTTATTTGCTGAGAGCCATTGCCAAGTAGGAATGACGCATGGCATGACCCAGGTCATTTGCAGTGACATTGCATGTAAGGTGACCTTGCTCAAGGACCAGGGCRGACCTGGGTTTAGGGCGCTCCTTGGGTTTAGGGGGCGGTTCCAGGTTTAAGGTGTATCCTGCTGGGAATAGGGCATATCCTGCTGCCTCCAGGCACCCGCTCCTTGAGTTCCCCTTGAGTTCGAGTTCCCCTTGAGTTCTCGTAGGATTCAGAGAGTATTTGGGATTCAGAGCACGGTGGAGAGCGTGGATTTTGCCCAGAACCTGTGTGTAGAGTGCTGGTGACAGTTCGAGAATAAAGAGTTGCTGTTTGAATCTACAAGGTGTGAGTGGCTCGTGATTTTGTGCCCAGCCAGACTGCGGCAGTTATTGTTTTAATATTATACTCAAATTAGCCTTGTACATAGTCTTTCTATAGCACTTAAAATGAAAACTGTTTCTTCAAGGGTCTCTTCCATGTGGCTCAACTTAGTTTTCAAACTCAAAATTTTTACAAGCTCCCTATGTGCACCTTATTTAGAATTCCCAAAGTTTTGTTTGTGCTGTTTCCTCCTGCCAAATGTATCATCCTCACTACCTTACACATGAACCTGAAACTTCTATTGTATAAAGACCCGGTATAACTAAGATGAGGTGTAATTCTGAAAGCGAGTATGTTCTTACATTTTGTGTGCTAGGCAATTAACTTACTTTACCCTAATCCCAGTCTTGAAGAACATCTGAAAAAGTTACTGCTATGAAGTGTGCCCTGATTCCTCTTAGTGAACTGTAAATCCTTTAACCCCCCAAAGTGCTTTATATTCCTCTAATGGCTTTACATTCATTTAACAGATCCAAGAAACATTTATAAAGCACCTTCTATATGCCAAAGGCACTGATCTAAGAGTTGGACATAGTACCGTGAAAAAACACATAAAAATCCAGCCTGCTGGGAGCTGTGTTGGCCAAATAATATTGTTATATTGTGTGCTTGTATGAATACATAACAAGTCCCACCATTATGTACAACAAAATAATGTGGACCAAAAATCCAGTTTCCTTAGATTTTAGTTCTAGTGAATTACAGTAACTTGTTTCTACTTCTATAAATACATCAAGCCAGCTGCCAAGGACGAAATCTAGTTAATCTTTCTTTGTAGATAATATCTGCTCAATAAATATTTAGTGAATTCAAGATTTACAAAAGGATCTCATGTATTGTTTTACAAATATTTAATTAACAAATTATGACTAAACACAAATATAACTTCTATTAATTTGATCTATTAACTTACCTACTAATGTCATTGTTGCTTAAATCAAGCCTTTCCAAAGACTGGAGTAGTGTAATTTCATCTGGAACAGATTTTAACTTGTTATCCCTCAGGTCTAGCACGAGGATGGAATTCAGATGCTTAAGATGTTCTGCTCCTAACATTTCAATTTGGTTTTCACCTACATGCAATTCCTAAAAAAACAAAGATCAGCCATACACGTTTCTTATTCAATTTTATATTAGATAATGAAAATAAAGTTGTGGGTACTCTTAACTTGAAATCATGGAAATATACATTAGAAAAAATACAACTTTCTTATTACTAAAGTACATTTTTAATTACATTTAAGCTATTTTACATATAAAGAAAAAAGGCAAAGAAGAATACCTTCAAAAAGGTTCTGGCAATAGAAAAATAATTAAAGATGAATCTTGCAGAAACATCAAGTTTATAAAACCAAAGTAGAGAAATGATTTACTAGCTACATTTATAATATTAATAAAAGCATAAGTCTAAAAAGTACAATGATGAAAAATTAGTTTCAAAACAAATCAGTACCAATCAAAAAATTTATATTTTAGTGAGTTCATGTAATGTTACCATTAATGATAATTATACACATTGGTATCCCATTAACAGAATTTATAATTATCAGTTGGAAAATTAGCTAATTTAATTAAATGAAAACTTTTCCATTACCATTTTTTTAGATCACTGTTATCTTTCTATTTAGAAACTCTTTTAACACTAAAAGTAGATATAAAGAAAAGTAAAGCATGACAAATTTTAAACATAATTATAATGCTATATTCTTTCTTTTTCTTTTTCTGGTACTGGSGATTGAACTCAGGAGCACTCAACCACTGAGCCGCATCCCCAGTCCTAGTTTGCGTTCTATTTAGAGACAGGGTCCTCACTGAGTTGCTCAAGAGTCTCACTTTCGCTAAGCCTGGCTTTGAACTTGCCATCTTCCTGCTGAGTTGCCGGATTACMGGCATGTGCCACTGCGCCTGGCTATAATGCTATATTCTTTTTTTTTTAATAATATTTTTTAATTGTAGATGGACACAATATATTTTTATATTTATTTTTATGTGGTGCTGAGGATCAAACCCTTGCTTCATGCATGCAAGGCAAGTGCTCTACCACTGAGCCACAACCCCAGCCCAACCCATTATTCTTTTTTTTTTATGGTGCTGGGAATTGAAACCAGGGCCTTGTGCATGCCAGGCAAGCACTCTACCAACTGAGCTATATGTATCCCCAGCCCTCTAATGCTATACTTTTTTTTTTAATATTTAATTTTTAGTTGTGGTTGGACACAATACCTTTATTTTTTATTTATTTATTTATTTATTTTTATGTGGTGCTGAGGATTGACCAGGGTCTTGCACATACTAGGCAAGCACTCTACCACTGAGCCACAACCCCAGCCCTCAATGTTATATTCTTAAAGCCAAAATAAAGTAATTTTAAACAGATCGCATAAATGTGAGAGAAGCCAACTTATAGCATTAAGTAAATATTTCGTACTAGTATTTCAGGTCTCCCATAGGATAGTTCCAACATACCATGTTACCCTCATTATATAGTATTTCTCCAGTTATGAACTACTAATCAGGTGAAAGGACCAAATACCTATTTTTAAAAATTATTTTGTTTTAAAAATCTGTTACTAACAGTATCATTAAAGTTAGTAGTCACATTAAAATTCTAAAAAATACACACACACACACACACACACACACACACACACCATTACTTATAACACACATGACCAAAAGATTAGGTCCTTTAAAAAAAATTCATTTTCATAAGCAACTTTTAGAAAATATACAGTTACTTGGTAATATACTAAATAGTACCTTCAATAGTCTACATGAAGGAAATTCTGGTAGAAAACGCAATTTATTTCTCCGCAAATAAAGCAATTCTAGCGATTCCATGCCAGCCAATTCAGGAGGTATAGTTTCCAAGAGATTTGAATTACAATCCAAATGCTTTAATCCTGCAATATATATTCAGTGAAAATAAAATGTTTAAAAAGAAAAAAAATTGGTGTATGATAATATAGAATTTCAAAGAATGGGTAATAAATCTCTGCAAGTACTTATGAACATAGGCTAATGTATCTTGATTATTATCAAGAATACTCAAATATTCCTGAACTAAATAAATGTAAACTAAGTTTCTCTTTACATTTAATTAAAATCAAGACCTAATGATGTTAAAGTTAGTATTTAATAATAATGCTTGTTATCTTTGCAGTGCAGTTAAAAAACAAAGTTCACTAGTACTCTATTGATTTAAAGTATATAAATCATATACAATTATTATTGCATATATTATATACCCTTAAAAAGAAAAGGCCATAATTAAAGACATTTAACATATATGCACATTGACTGAATGAATGGACATCAAGTAACTCTGGCTAATAGTGTCTTAGAGTTACTGGGATTTTAGGTAAGTAGATTTTCTGCTAAAAAGACTCGGATTTTTATGTACTCCCTTCCATTCTTCCATTCATCCCTACTGCTTGCTACTCCTTCCCACTCCCATCTTCTTTTCTATTTTTTTTTWAATTATATGCTTCTCCTAACACCTCTGCTAACATTCCTGACAAGAATATTTACTACAGCTCAAAAGAATATCTTTTAAAAAAAATATTTTTCTTTAGTTGTACATAGACACAATTACTTTGTTTTACTTATTTATTTTTATCTGCTGAAGATCGAACCCAGTGCCATACACATGCTAGGGGAGCACTCTACCACTGAGTCACAACTACAGTCCATCAAAAGAATATCTTTACTTGCAGGATCTCTCTTTCAGCTCCTGGATCCTCCTTTCTTAAAGACAATCAGAAAAACAAAATTGGAAAAGAAGTAAAGGTTTTCTTTTCTTAAGATTCAATAGGCATGGGCTGGAGTTGTAGCTCAGTGGTAGAGCGTTTGCTAGCATGCATGAGGCACTGGATTAAATCCTCAGCACCACATAAAAAAATAAATAAAAGATATTGTGTTCATCTATAACTAAAAAAATTAAAAAAAAAAAAAGATTCAATAGGCTTACTCCATATTAGATTCTTCCACTTACTAGGGCCAACATCTATTCTCCTACCTCTCCAACAGACTGTAGTACGCATTCACAACTTATTTTCCTGCAGTTTGAGCCTGTTGATTTTTAAATAATTCAAGGCTATATCGATATGTTGCCTTAGATTGCATATTTTCAAGTATAAGAAGATGCTAACTGGTTTCAAAGCAAATGAAACAGTACTACTTTCAACTAATAAAATTTATATATTATTTAACTAGAATAGTGAGAAAAGAATGTTGCTGTCTGATCCACTCAAATTTTTAAAGAATAATTTTTAGAAATGTTTGCATCTAGGAGCACTAACTGAAAGAATACAAGCAGTGGGGATAAAGCAAGAGGATTTCAGACCTGCTTTTAAAATTTACAACATAATTTCTTCATCAAGGTTTATCAATCTTTAAACTGTAAAAAAAAAAAAATTACCTGATTTAACTTACAGAACTGTAAATTAAATTATGTGATGTCAAAATAATTTGAACAAAAGCATTGTAAAATTTCATGACACCATACAAATGAAGAAATTATTCTTAGAATCCATTTATTTATAGTTAAATAACAATTAAATGTCCTATAACTATACAGGGTATATATTTATATAACTATATAGCTATATTAGCTAACTATATATTTATATCTAGTTATAACTATATATTATTTATGTAGTTATATATAGTTATAACTATAAACTGCATAAAGACTATAACTATAGTTAAAACTATATGAAGAGATAGCACAGCTGAACAAATGAAGAGATAGCATAGCTGAAAACCTTAATCAATTTCTCAATTACTTTTTAATATGCCTAAATATCTTTTGATGTTAATTCTTTAGAAATTTGTCAGATAATAATGGTCTGGAGAAAATGTGACTAAGTATTGCTTGCATTTACTATCATAAAATTATTATTTACTTCTCTATAATTATGTTACAAATTATTTTTCCAAAGGCAAGTTACATCAACTTCAAACTTATGTAGTTTTTTAAACATTTTAAAAATGATTTACTTTTCATTTTGCTTATTTCCGCTGGCAAACTCTTCAGTTGGTTACTGGAAAGATTGAGTCGTATCAGACTAGACAGAGAAGAAAAACTAACAGGAACAGTTGAAAGACGATTGCTTGAAAGATCCTTTAAAAGAAAGAATGAATGAATAAGTGAGAAAACAGGAGAGTACATAAATAGCCCTAAATGGAGTTTCAGAAATTGGGGGAAATGCAAGAAAAAAGTCTACTTTAGAGGTGACTGATTTTGTAACTTTAACACAATTTCCCAGATTATCATTCACTTCAATGTTTTCAAATATCTATAGACCCACAATGTATTCATCAAGATAGCAGATAGAAATTAGAATGAATTCTTTTTTCTTTCTTCTTTCCACAAATTTTAATAGTGTATTATAGTTGTACATAATTATGGAATTTGTTGTTATATATTTACACGTGCACAAAATAAAACAATGTAATTTGGTGAATATCTATCCCTAGCACTTTTCCCTAGAATAAATTCTTACTTTAAAAATATTTTACATAAAGGTTACTATTAAAACTAAGGCACAGTATATCATGTTATGTTTGCAATGCATAAATGTATTTTGTCCTTCTATTGAATGAATTAGGTACATTATTGGTAACCCATAATAACAAATGAAAGACATCTTTGCAAGATAGAAAAGTTCCTGAAAGAAAGAAAAACAAAGTGGAAAAAGTGGTCATTTCAATTTCTGACAAAAAAATATATTCTCTTGGATCTGCTGACTTCGGAAGTTTACATTGGCCAAGATTAGAAGTCTTGTACTTTTGATGCGTTCGCGCTAGCTTAATTTATCTCTATACTTCAATGTTTCTTTAAATTTTGAAGTTCCTCTTTTTTCTTTAAATGAGAGAACTATTTTTTTAAAAAATCCTTTAAAAAACAACGTTATAAATCAGGTAGTTCTTGTAACACTTGAATTAAGTGTAAAATGTTCCATTTTCTATCAGCAAAATGTTAAGTAGGGTCAATTGTAAGAATGAAAAGAAAAAAATGACTTAAAATAGCTATGAAGATTTTCAATAAGTCAAATATTAAACAACTGTATTCTGTAACTGAATAAATTGAGATAGAAAACAGTAAAAAGCTGAATCAGCTCATTTTTACAAAAATTTACTAATATAACACTATAATAATCTACAACATATAACCATATAATCTACAACTCTAATTCTCAAATAAAAATCAAGGAATTGCTTGCTAATAAATAAATATTATATATTATTGAAAGTTTCAGAAATTAAATAGAATGGGATTAGGATTAGAACCTGGAACAAAAAGCTAAGAGTAGTTAAAAAAAAAAAAAACTAGGGAAATAATGAATTAAAATCTATAGTTAGAATTATGCCAATATGAATTTCTGAGTTTTTACAAATGTTTCATAAGTATACAAATGTTAACATTAGGACAACCTGGGTAAAGGGCATATATTTACAACTATAATAAATCTAACACTTTTCTAAAATGAAAAATTTTTWAAATAATTGCTAACAAATTAATTCAGAAATTCTCAAAACATTTTTGGGGGGGAGTACCAGGGATTGAAATCAGGCGTACTTGACCACTGAGCCACATCCCCAGCCCTATTTTGTATTTTATTTAGAGACAAGGTCTCACGAGTTGCTTAGCACCTCGATACTGCTGATGCTGGCTTTGAACTCACAATCCTCCTGCCTCAGCCTCCCTAGCCAATGGGATTACAGGTGTGTGCCACCAAGCCCAACGATTCTCAAAGCATTTTAAAAAACCCCAATCATTCTAATAAAAATCCCTTCTAAATTCTAAATGAAATTACTAATAAAATTAAGTATTTAATTACTGTAGCAAGATATAAAACATAAGTATGGCCATATATAAACTAATCCATATTTATGCCAAGTTATTCCGTTCCTTCTAAATTCTACAACGTATTACTGATAAAATAAAATATTAAATTATTGTAGTTGGTAAAGGTATAAAACATAAGTATACTATACATACACTAATCCATATTTATGCCAGTATTACTTCAACAAATATTTATTTAGTGCCATTGGGCTAAGCAGTTTTTATAATGTTAAATTAGTAATTTAAATGGTCACAGGTATTTCTCATTTTAACCTGTTTTAATATGTTGTTTTCCATATTTATGATTTATTTGACACTAAATCCTTAAGAACACAATTATCAAAGGAAAATTTCATTATGCAAATGACTGAGAACCCATAAAGTAGAACTGGGAAACTTCATTTATTATAAAGTTTCTTGCCAGCTTTTAACTCTAATGTATGCTTTTTAAATATCAACTACTTTTAATATTTATAAAATTTTAAAAAATTTATAAGAAAATCTGATAGCTCCCTTCTTTCATTCATTTTATCTACATATGCCTTTTTATTCTATAACCTAATTTCCAATCTGACCAGACTGAACAACAACAAAACGTTGAAAGAATAGCTTGGACATGTATATWTTTTTTTTCAAACACTAGAGCAATTGAGGAGATTATCAAGGAGGTGGTACTTACACAATAAATAAAAGTAAAAGGATTAATTTTTACTTTAGTGAGAAAGTTTAAGGTTAACATGACACAAATGAACTGTTGAAAACWTGTAAAAGGGAAAAGAACCAAAATGCAATATGAAATAACTATTTAGAATATATAATACATATGAGAACCTCTCATTTGATGTGACTAAATTCTTTAAGATGGAATACTTTACAGTAGAGTCTTATTCCTTTGGTGGTAAACTGCAGAAAAAGGGATGCACTTTCACAGTTTCTTAATATATTAAGGGATAGAACTATTTAGCTTGCCATATGTAAAACACGAAGCAAAGATCTTATTGTTTTTATTATTAATAATATGATTAAAATACTATTTCTTTTGCTTTATCATTATCTCTATTAAGGATATGTAAAACATAAAATAAAAGTTTTAGTAGGAAATATGGCCATTTTGGAAAATAGAGAAGAAAAGGCATGTTTGAAGGGATTATCTAGATACTCACAGGGCTGGGCCACAGGTAATGTAAAGAACAAAAACAGTATGGGGGGATTTGAGGTTGTGGCTTAGTGGTAGAGCACTAGCCTAGTACGTGTGATGCACTGGTTTCGATCCTCAGCACCATATAAAAGTAAATAAATAAAGGTATTGTGTCCATCTACAATAAAAATACATTAAAGCAACAACAAAAAAAGCAGTATAGGGATAGAAGAAAATTGATATATGCTCAAGACAACTTCCTTCTAAGCTATAAAAGTCTCTGAATAGTCACCTTCTTTGCTTTTTTCCAAACTCTAGTCCTGAGTTATAACTTGAAGTTGATTTAATATCATAGGAAAAAGAAGTTTACAATTATTGATTTAGCAATTTAATTGAAATACACAATTTCTGATAATCTAATCATAAAATCAGCCATCCAGGTCCCACAATTTCAATCATATCACATTTCTCAGTCTGATGAAAAAATCCCACCAGCCACAATAGTACAAAATTAGAAAATCACAACTTACTAAATCTTCTAAATTGGAAAGTTGTTCAAATCCCTCTGGTATGTAAGTTAGTTCATTATGCTGGAGGTACAGGCCTTTCAGGTTTTTTAGATTTGTAATTTCTTCAGGGAGCATTTTCAGTTTGTTATGGCTATTGATTGATAAAATAAATGAATAATTTAGTAAACAACGCAATAGATATTTATCAAAGACATTCTTGCTAATCAACTATGTGAACCTGTTAGAAAAATAAGATATGGTTATTAATTTTAAGTACTTATCAAAATTCACTTTCCAAAAATATATACTSGTTAAAATAACAGTAATCTAAAGTAACCAAATTAGAATCTTAAAGAAATAAAGTTTCTAAATAAACATATAATCAGTGAACTTCTAATTTCTTGCTTATAGTCAACTTAATTTTACATGTATCATGAAAGGACTTATTATACTCTTAATTGCCTAGCCTGTGTGAGGCACTGGGTTATTGTACTCTTACTTTTTGTACTTATTATAACTTTTTATACTGTATCTGACTTGTGTACATTTACCCACACCCTACAGAAGAGTTATATTTTATATGGAGGTAAGGTTGTAAACATAGCATTCAAGACAAAAATATCTAGTTCTGTTTGAGGGCCTGACATGTCAATTCCAGTCTGAACTTTTCAGTTGTACCCTTCTCTAGAGATACTCAGTTTACTGATTTAGGAGAAGTCCCACATCACTGAGGATGATATGCTCCCTGGTTATTAAGAGAGAAATGAAGAGATTCCCAAATTTATCACAACTTCATTATTCACTTATGAATTCTACTCTACTATCATGACACAGTTACTTCATGCACTAACAGGGGGAAATAGAAATATGAGGGGCTGTATAATAACCCTAAATTACATTAAAAAAAAAAAAACTAGCTACAACAAAAAAGCCAAAACAAGCCATTCGTTCTTGTTTTCTAAAATAAGAACGAGTAAGACTATTAAAAGTTGGTTATTATTCTAGGTTATRTAGCTGAAGTCTGGGTATATTTGATAAAGATTGAGATGGGAAAAGATATAATTCTAGCTATATATTTCCTCCATCTTGAAATTCATATACTTAACATTTTAGAATCTAAAGCTGAACCCCCCTCCATGCTTAATRCTCCTCACTCTTGTCCTTGCAGGCTCTGTCTATACTTTTGACTTATAAGAGGAAGATCCTCTGATGCATATCTAAACAATTAGCACCTTTTCAAGTGTAGATAGTGTTTTGTTTTTTTTGTTTTTTTTTTAGTTGCTGATAGACCTTTATTTGTTTATATGTGGTGCTGAGAATCGAACCCAGTGCCTCACACATGCCAGGCNTGCTGATAGACCTTTATTTGTTTATATGTGGTGCTGAGAATCGAACCCAGTGCCTCACACATGCCAGGCAAGTGCGTTACCACTGATCCTCAGCCTATAAGAGGAAGATCCTCTGATGCATATCTAAACAATTAGCACCTTTTCAAGTGTAGATAGTGTTTTGTTTTGTTTTTTTTTTTTTTAGTTGCTGATAGACCTTTATTTGTTTATATGTGGTGCTGAGAATCGAACCCAGTGCCTCACACATGCCAGGCAAGTGCGTTACCACTGATCCTCAGCCCATCAGGTGTAGATAGTTTTTCTGATTTATGGTAATTTCAAGTTTTTCACCAAATGAGGACTGTTATTTTAGGGACTGTTTCTCTCAAACCAGTTAACTTACCACTAGAAAACAGAACTGACTATACTGTGTTAAATAGATCTATAACCATATCTGTTTTATAACCAGTTTCTTTTCCTAAATGAAATCTCCCCTAACTTCTTTCTCTTAATCTGTGTCTATATAACATAGACAGGGCAAAGATATTCTTTCTTATAAATCTGGGTGTTAATTGGGAGGAAGCATTTAGAGCCTCAGCCACCTAGCATCCTATCTGCCAATGACAGTACCAGAAACATGCATGGAACACAAGGGGTCCTTGGAAAAGTTTAAAAACTGCTAATATTAAAAACCCTGAGGGCTGGGGATTTAGCTTAGTAGTAGAGAACTTGCCTAGCATGTGTGAGGCATGTGTGAGTTTGATCTCAGGCACCACACACACACACACAAAAAAAAAAAAAAAAAAAAACACAAAATTCTTCAGCATTAATAAAGGAATTGATTAATAACTCTTCTTTATTGTCTAGATACTTTCTAGAATATAGAGGTAATTTGTTGGAGGCCGTGTATGAATTATGGGCTTGTTTGAGCCATAACAAGGCAGGGAGGTTGCTTTCCTTGGAACTCCTAAGTGAAATTCCCCTAGATAATTCCAGATTATGCTGATACCCTGCCTTAGCTAAYAGCCCTAGGTTCAAAAGCAGCTGCCCCTGAGGTACAGGAGGTGGGCCTAACCTGCTAACATCCAAAGGAATTGTTTCTACTATCTTCTTTCTGTTTCCTCAGTTCTTTACTCGGAATCCCACTGGTGTTCCCATTCATTTAAATGACTTCATTTTGGGGAGTTAGACCCAGTCTCCATCAAAGTTGGTCCCAATTGAATTCTGCTCTTTCACTTATTTTCACGTTTTGTCTTATTTCTTAAATTTCTCATAACCTTTAATATTTCTAATTTGATTCACTGCCCTAACTTGGGGAAACTGAGTAAGCTTCATATGGGTCATGATAGTAATTTAAAACTTGATATGACCTGAATCTTTCTATATTATCTCATAAACATAAAACAAACACTTTCTTTTTTTGGTAATGGGGACTGAATCCAGGGCTTTGTCCATGCTCRGTAAGCAGTCAAAAACATTTATTTTAAATCAACTGGCCTTAAATTCATAAAACCAGAAAACATGTAGGGAATTCTAAAACCAAACACAAAGACAAATGCTCTGCTGAGAGTAGAGGGGCCAGTCTATAGTCCTAGCTACATGGGGCTAAGTCAGGAGAATTGCTTGAGCATAGCTGTTCAGGGACCACCTGGGGAATGTAGCAAAACCCATTTTTTTAAAAAGGACAACTAATTAAGAATTAAAAGTTAAGGGCTGGGTCTGTGGCTCAGAGGCAGAGCGCTTGACTAGCATGCGTGAGGCACTTGGTTCGATCCTCAGCACCACAAAATAAAATAAAGGCATTGTGTCCACCTATAACTAAAAAATAAATATTAATTAAAAAAAGAAATTAAAATTCTTATTCAACTACTTTCTAAGATAACACCAAGTTTTTTTTTTGTTTTTTTGGTGCTGAGTACTGAACCCAGGGCCTCATGGATGTTACGCACAGGTTCTACCTCAGAGCTATGCTCCAGCCTCATGATATTTTCTAATGTTAGAAAATAATTTTAAAGAATACTAAATCTATACCATTATAATTGCAACATTAGAAATAAATAGCTTAAATTTTACCTGACATTAAGCTTCTGAAGATTTTCAAGTTCTCTTAGAGCAGAAGGAAGTGATGTTAGCTGATTATCATGTATCTAAAATTATTAAAAGGAAATCAGTATTCTTATTCTTATAATTAACAACACATGATCTTGGTATTATACAAAATTATTCACTGATAATCCCTGTTCTTCTAATTCAGTGACATGACACCTATTTGTAATTTGTTCTGAGTGTAGAAGAGGAAAAGGGGTTTAAAACTGACCCAACTACTGCTTAGAAATCATGAAGTAATAAGTTATTGATTTTAAATATTACCAAAATAAAACAAAAAAGCTTCACCTCATCGAGTGGAGTTTTAATGTCATGTACAGGTGAAGATATTATTTACGTCAACATATACAAAAATTTCATAAGAGAGAGAAGAACTTCTCTCATGTTCTCACAGAAACATACTGTTTTTAAGGGAGAAAGTATCTTGGAGTAGGCCAATTCAATCATTTCACAAATAAACACACACACACACACACAAAAAAAAACTTCTCTAGAAATTTCACTATTTTCATTCAATCTTTTTCACACATGAATTAGAGGATTTTTGATGTTGCTATGTAAACCAGAAGTTTATATACTCTGAAATAACTATTAATGCTCCAATTTACCACGACATAGTGACTAGAGACTAAAAACTGAATACCTGAATAAAAATCACAAAAATTTGAGTTTAATAGTTTAAGTCAGTGAGATTGAAAGTGAATTACAAAAAAAAMCCCCAAAAAACCCTTACGTACTACACTTGTTTTAATGTCTAGAGTAATAGTGATGATAAAATATAGCAATAAGAAAAAAGATGAGTAGAAGCAACAATTAAATACTGATTGTACATGTTAACACAGAGAATTCTAATAATTAAAAATAGTAGTATCTTTTCTCATTGATACATATGGAAACTAAAGCACAAATAGGAAACCTTCCCAAAGTCACTGGCTGTTAAGTTGGAAAGTCAGAATTAAAAACTGATGTTTTACACCCTTAACCATTATGCAATGCATGACATAATAATATTATTTTCCCTTTGACTGTATCAACTTAACATGAAGAGTTTTCTGCTTATCAAAGCCTAACTTTAGCTTTGGAGTCTCTTCAACCAACAACACATAATTATATTCAACTTACATCAAGAACAGTCAGTGCAGGTAAGAGTCTAAGGTCATCTGTCAGTGACTGAAGTTTATTGTTTGATATGATTAGTTTGGTCAAATCTGTCTGTTCCCACCATCGTTCAGMAGAACTGAAGGAAAGATTCTGATTAGCTTCTTCAGGGATATCCATGTTTATTCTCCAAACACACTGAGGCACTATTTCCACCACCACCATAAAAAAAAAATATTAGATATTAAATTTTGGTAATAACCAATCAATTTATCTACTAAAAAACAATTTCAGAAACAAAAATTTCCCAATAAGTCAAATAGCAATAAATTACAGCTACAGCAAAAGCTGATTTCATTCAAAAACAGACTAGTATGTACTTTATACATTAGATCTCACTTTTAATTTTATTCACTTACACACTAGGTATACTCTGTATAACACTTTTTGATAAATATATAAAATATACTCTACTATCATGCTAACAAAGTTACAGAAAAGGCTTGGAAATCAGCATTTGTATTTACAAATTATTAATTGTATTTATAATATCAAAACTTTTGTAACAGAAGTGTATACTGAGTCTCAGAAAGGTCTAGTAGTACTTATAGTAATAAATAATAGCTAACGAAAATATCAGGCAATCTTCTAACAAACCAATACATTTAAACCTTGTAACTGGGTTGGGGGTGTAGTTTACTGGTAAGGCATTACCTGTCATCACACATAAATTAACTATCTAGTTCCTTGTCTCATAATCCAAACTCCCTTGGATTTCAGTAAAAAAAATTAAATGTTCTCTTTCAACTTCTGAGGTATTTTTTCTTGTTTTCATTAAGAAATGTATAAGATTTGCTTTTTTTTGTTGACAACATACTCACCTGGAAGCATTTTTTTTTCCCTGAAATGAAAATGGTCAGTTTTTATTAGTTATTTAGAATATCCCAATGAGTTACACTAAGCAAGCAGTAGCTAAAACTCAGATTCAGTCTAAATAGTAATGCAGAGCATGGTTTATAAAAATTTAAGATGGTTACTGAAAGCCTAAAGAAATGGTTTATTTTATACTTTTTATCTGTTCTAACTGTATACTTAATAAAATAAATCATTATTACCCTAAAACAGTATGGTTTTTGAAGCTTAGGATCACTAGACCTAGTTACTTAATTGTACAAGTGAGAACTAATCCTGTGTTCTCTTCAAGGTAAGGAAGAAAAGCCTTACAACAATATTTCCCTTTCAAATAATATGGTTTCCAAAGTAAACTGCTTTGTTTAATAAATTATCTGCCTACCAATTTTCCTTTCAGTTCAAGTAGTTTCTTTTTTTTTTTTTTTTTCAATGTTCAGTTTCCTTTAATGACCCCCATCTCCCTGAAAGGCAGGTGCAGGCAGCTAGGTGATGGCAAGAGATGTTCACTTGAAGATCTTGCCCTGATTGAAGGCTTTGCCCACATGCTGGAAGGCCCCTTCCCAGGAAAAGTACTCTCGAACCAGGGTCT